ATGCTAGGGGTGTTACTAGGCCGTCATTTGAGTCCAACTTTAAGAAGATGATGGATATTCACAATCCTGTTGTTGTCATTGTTACTGAGGTCCGTGTTTCTGAGATTAACTTTGGGAAATTAGTTGGAAGTTTAGGGGATCAATTGGGCTGGAATATTGATGAGAGTGTGGGATTGAAAGATGGGGTGATCTTTATGTGGGATAAGCGCAGGGCGGAAGAAGACGAAGTCATGGTGGTCGGTTCTGCTAGCTGCCCTCTTCGTGTTGTTGCCTTAATCAAGGTTATTTGTTTTATCTTAATCTTTTATGAACATATTGAAATAGACTTAGTATCTAATTAATTTATTAAATCCTGTAAGTAATTTGTTTTATTTTTATTTTTGTTTTTTTTTCTTATTACAGGCAAAAGCAGAAGTGGTGAGTACCCCGCCGGTTGGAGTGGAGGAGGTTGGTTCCACGTCGAAGGCTGTTGAGGTTGTGGGTTCGACTTCAAAGGCTGGCGAGGATGCGGTTAATTAGGAAAGGCTTGATTTGCATTTCGATGTTTGAATGATTTATTTCTCGACTATGGTGATTATTATGTATCCTAAAAATCCTTTCGAGGATTAGTACTTATTTTATGCTTGTTAAGTATTTAATATGCTCTCTAATGTGTTGAACAATGATCTAGTTTGTAGCTTTTATTAATGGTTAATGTATTAGTAGTAATGTTGTGTTGAAGATTGTGTTATTGAGTTGACTATTTTCATTTTTTATTTAACCAAATATGATATATTAACATGTCGTATGTTAGACAAATAACTCATTTATATGGACTTGATTTTTATTTTTTTAAAATTAATCCAAAAATGATATATTAACATTCTTTATCTTAAACAAAATACTGATTTATATGGACTTGTTTTTTTTTTTAAATAGTTTTGATTAATCCTAATATGATATATTAACATGCTTTATCTTAAACAAATAACTCATTTATATGGACTTGTTTTTTTTTATTTTAAATAGTTTTGATTTATCCTAATATTATATATTAACATGCTTTGTCTTAAACAAATAACTTATTTATACGGACGTGTTTTTTTTTAAATAGTTTTGATTAATCCAAAAATGATATATTAACATTCTTTATCTAAAACAAAATACTGATTTATATGGACTTGTTTTTTTTTTTAAATAGTTTTGATTAATCCTAATATGATATATTAACATGCTTTATCTTAAACAAATAACTCATTTATATGGACTTGTTTTTTTATTTTAAATAGTTTTGATTTATCCTAATATTATATATTAACATGCTTTGTCTTAAACAAATAAATCATTTATACGACGTATTTTTTTTTTAAAAATAGTTTTGATTAATCCTAATATGATATATTAACATGCTTTTTCTTAAACAAATAACTCATTTATATTAAAAAATACCAAATCCCATATATAAACTTCTTGATTTTTTTTTTTTAATCCAAATATGATGTTTTAACAAGGTTTATCTTAAACAAATCACTGGTTTATATGAACTTGATTCTATTTTTGGACTGACAAAGAAAAAGTGAATAACAACATGGAATGAAATTTAGAAACAACAATAAGATCTAGGAATGTCACATTTAAGAGTTACAACCATCTGATTTGAAATTGTGCAAGATAGTAGTGGCCCTTAAAAAACCCTCTTTTTAGCTAACTAGTTTGATTGTGATGTAACTAATTAAAAAGGAGATAATTGCACAAATAAGCATTACATTCCAAATTGATTACAATTAACTATAGTCATCCCAGTCTTCTTCTTGAGTTGATCATTCTCTTGAACAAGCCTTTTAATTTCATGCTCCATGCAAATCACCCGGCTTTTGAGGACGGTAAGATCGGTGTTGAGCTTGTGTTTTTCACTCAAAAGTACATTGGTAACATCCCTTTTCCAGTCTGACATATCTTCGTCATACCATTCAAAGTAATCGCAGCCCCGTTGGCCTGTTTCAAAGTTGTAGAACTTGTATGCCAAGAATCTCCTACTAGGATTATCATGAGTCCATGAAGTTCTCTTTGAAATAGGGAGGCCACAGTTACATTTTTTACCTCTATGTGCCATTGCAAGAGAAACAATGGTAAAATGCTAATGTGTAGAAAATAGCATATAAAGTTGATAAGTTGAAGCTAGAAGTTGTTAAATGCAGAAACCATATAAGTAACAAACAAGCAAAAGAAAGAAAGTTGTCTGATTTATGCACCACCATTTAATGGAAAAGGGAATAAAGTGTACATGGGTAATCTAAAAAGAAGATTTTTTTGCTGTACATATATCTAGGATGTAAGGACTAGGAGTAGGAGTAGGCAGTAGATGAGGTAGCTTGTATTGCACTAAATCAACCCCTATTGGTGTTTTCATTTGTTATTAATTTAATTTATTATTATTTTTTTTTAATAATCTTTTTCTAACGAGTCCTTGAAAATTATGACGGGTGCCTCGATTAAATACATCAACCAGCCGTAATTAATTTCGTAACACAAACTATACCATTAAATATTAAAGTTATCATTAATTATTAAAGTTATACTTATAATTGATCAATATTTCATAAAAAAAATACAAATATGACTGTAAAAACTCACCTTCTAACATTAATTATTCATTAAAAGTAAAATTTTAATTTTACTTTTATATTTTATATTTTATTACTCATCTATTTGACAAACTTCGTGCTTTATATACTTTCATTAATATTTTTATACACCAATATCAATGCACGTTTCTAGATTTGTTTTTCCAGACCGACCTACAAGTATAATGGACCAAAGTCCATATGGATGTATAAATGTTCCTCGATCATGGGCTAGATGAATTTGTTTGAATGGGTTGGGGTATTCGCAGATTAACAATAATGAATCAAAAGCAAAGACACAGCATGAAGCAAATTGTATCAGAAAAAACTAACCCATTTCAAGAATAAATTCCAAATTAACAATAATGAATCAAAAGCAAAGGCATAAGCCAGCAAGAAGCAAATTGTGTCGGAGAAAACTAATCCCATTTCCAGATTAATTTCAGGATTTACCAATAATGAATCATAAGCAAAGGCACAAGACAACATAAAGCAAAATTTATCAGAGCAAACTATAACTAAAGTATCAGAGCAAAACGTGTCAGACCAAACTGCAAACTAACCCAAAATGTATCAGAGCAAACTGACCCAAAATGAATCCGAAGCAAAATGAATCAGAGCAAACTAACCAAACTGAATCAGAGCAAAATGTATCAGAGCAAACTAACCCAAAATGAATCATAAGCAAAGGCACAAGCCAGCATGAAGCATATTGTATCAGAGCAAACTAATAGAGTCAATTATGATTTTACTCAATCCTAATTGAGTCAATTCTAATACACTACTCATAGCACAACAAATACATCAATAACTTCGGCATTGTGAATCACAAAAACCATAGATACAATCCTAAAAAGATGATGATTGATTCATGAGAGTACAATCCTAATAGAGCCTTGTTGTTCATCCAGCCATCTTAAGTTATAATTTCAGAATTCAAAAAGAATCCTCACCGCTTTCTGTGCCAATAACATCCATTTGAGGAGTACATTCACTGTCATCGTCATTAACATTCAGCTCCATGTTCTCTTCCACACCATGTTCTTCCAGCCAACGTTTCCTTATTTTCTGTCAGAGAGGAATGTATTCATGAAGAACTAACAACAATCACAAAAATAGAAACTTCTAATGTCGAATAAATACAACCTTAACTGATAAAAGAGCTTACCATTATATTCCATTAAAAGACGATGGGTAGTAGGTTTGAAGAATAAATTGAGCAGCAGGCTCCAAAATAGCAAGCAATTAATCTTTTCAAGTGCACTAAAACTGATAAAATATAAAGGATTGAAATTAAAACGAAGCAGACATCGGGTTGTTTCTCCTTTGGCTATGCCTTTTTGTAGCCCATTCTGCAAGGTTTTTGTTCCTGCTACCTTTTGGTCACCCTCTACGCTTCTTCTGTACAACTGGGTCAAGAATAATCGACTTATTTGGGGCAGTAGGTGGTGCATGTTGTTGAGACCAATGGATGTTATCAGCATCAACAGAGAGGTCTGTAACATGTTCTTGGCCAGCTGCAGGAGTGTCATTAGAGTCAGGGGGTTGTCTGGTTTTTGTACTGAAGCAACTGTTGACCCACACAACATGACTGTTTCTCTACTTGAGAGCCATCAGTAGGAAAGTGAGTAACCTCTTCAGCTTTGTTGAGAAGATCTTTCTTCTGCTTCAACGCTGCTACTTCACCCTGCAGCTTTTTTAGAGAAGTCAGCACATGGTGAACGGCTTCATCGTCAACAGAGGCAGCAAGATCAGATATAGTCTCAAAAGTGGTTAGCATTTTATAGGATCTCTTGACTTGTGCCGAGTGAGAGGGATCATGGTATGGGACTTTAACCCTTGTATGCCTCCGATTTACATCCTTCCGCCACCTCGTAAGTATATATTTCTCAGGTATATCAAAAACCAAGTTCTGAATCAAATATCCGGAACATATGTTTGCACAAAATCCCCAAATGTTTCAAAATTTCCGGCAATCGCATGACACTTCTTTGGTCACACTGTCAAACGTGACACGGTAGAACCTTCGGCGATCAGTTATTTTCTCCTCCATGTATCCTTGTGGAACAATCCATACTCTATCTTTAACCAGATACTGAACAACTGTGTTGGACAACATTTTCTCATCACGACAATAGCAGTACAAGAGTCTTGAAAGCTCAGTCTGTATTTCTTGAAATTTTGTGTTAGTGTAAATCTGTTGAAACAGCTCCTCCGGCTTGAACCCACTCACCATCCTACGAACATACTTTGACCAGTTGTCATCCGCATCAGTTTCATCGTTGACGCGTTTGGTCATTGCTCTGTTGTATTGTCTAGGAAATTTATGTAACTTGGTTTTTCGATTCACAAAGCCGTAAAAAAAACTGTTGATGCTCTCCACTCTTTGAGTAGTTTTCATACCAGCCCAAAAGTAATCTTCATGAAGGTCGGAACCCACATGTGTCTCTCTTTGAACATATAAGTCAACCACTCATTATTTTCCAGCTTGTAGTACTTAATCAATGCAACCCAATTCTCCTCAAACTCATCCACAGTGAAGCTTTCATATATCACAGTTTTCAGCTTATTTTTAAACTCTAATCAATGTCAAAAATTTATAACCACAACCAAAAAAAAAAATTAAAATTAATACATCATCATCACATATGTAATTAAACATATTATAGTAAATGAGGGAATAGTAGCAAGTAACTTGAGCACTAAACTTGCACTAAACATATTAAACTAAACTTGAGCACTAAACTGATGTATAGTAGCATATAATATTAAGTGAAATATGGACTATACAAAACCATATGTGATTAAATAACCTAACTTTCACTATATCAAATTGTAGTTAATAACTTTGTCCAACAAATGACAAATGTAATTAATATAAATATTTAAACATATAACTTGCACTATATCAAATTGTAGTTAATAGCTTTTTCTTTTTTATTCATACAGTGAGTCATAAAGTGAGTCAAAGAGAAAATATTAACTAGATTTAGAGGTGAACAAGGACATATACTGAGGCTTTCAAATGGCAGCTGATTCACAGTTACTAACAATATCAATTTCAGTAGTGTAGACACCCATTTGTGTCTCCCAAAAACCAAACCCGGTGATGAGTACCTTTCACGTCGAATCATAATCGAATGAAACGAAAGTGTGGAAGGGTCTAGTGTTGCGGAAAGTTTTATTTCTTTTCTCTTCTCCCTGTTTTTGAAAACTTTATTTTAAGAAAACAGCCAATCCAGTTTGGTTGGTCCATGATATGGGTCCAATAGTGGTGTAGTTGGATGGGGCTTTCAAAGACCTTTCCAACGATATATTATAAGCCCAATTCCGATGAATATTGAGGAATTTATGGCCAATTTACTAAACTGGGCCCGGTTTGAGCTTTAAGTACGGCCCAATGATCTAGGGGAGGGCCTAATATGATTTATCATTCCTAATGTAATTAGGAATGGTTTTAGTCTTCTAGAACATTCTAGAAGGTTCTTTTCATTCTTATTCAATTAGGATTCTTCAGAGTTTTAATTGAGATCAAATAGCATTTTCGACTGAAATTATATTATTTTATCTTCTAGTACGGGAAATTTATCAGATTTTCGAAAACGCGTTGAAATCCAATTTGGCGTCCAACCCCAGGCCTTGGCGCCTGGAATCAGGATTGGCGCCAGACGCCAGCCATTGGCGCCAAGGTGGTTTTTTTTATCTTCAGACTCTGTTTTGTTAAATTATCTTTTTTGGATGATTTTCTCTATAAATATCGTATTAAAAACTCCGTTTCATTCATCATCTACATCTATCATTCACCAATTCTCTTTATTCTTAAGTCTTCATCAACTATCTTCATCATTCACCAATTAGCATTCATCTAGAGTCAAATAATCCTTTTCATTCATCTCTTTTCATCAGTTTTCATTAACATTCATTCTTTCTTTTTTTAAACTTTGCTTTTTAATACAAAATCCCGCATTCGCAAGATCTAGATACAGCTAGCCATATTCGAAGTTGCCTTTGCCCTAGACGTGAAAGGTTTTAATTTCTGAGGGTTTGGTCCCAAATCTCTCTTTCAATTATTTAATTTAATTGTTTTGATTATTATTTTCCTTGAAGTTACTAACGTGTGTATTTTGTTATTAGAAAGAGGTACGAGGCATCCAAGTAAGTACTTTAATTGATTTTAATTGATATTATGATGTAGATATCATGCTTAGATTGTTATTTTGATTCCTAGTATCATGTCTAGGGTAACTTTAATATCAAGTATGATTAAAAGTACGATGCTTCCTATATTCTTCCTAATATTTATGATTGCTAGTATCATGTTAGGGCTAAAGAATTGATTTTTATTGCTTAGTGACATACTAGGATTTGTTATTAATCTTGTTAGTATCATGCCTAGGATCTTGCTATTTTTATTATGCTTTAATATTAACATGAATATGATTATGATTATAATGATTATAATGATTATGAATATTATGATTATTATTATTCTTCATGATTATTATTGATTATGTTGCTTGATATATTATTTATTCTTTATTGCTTGATCACACCTTTGATGCATGTTTAAAGGGAATTGGTACTTGTAATCACGCTTAATAAGATAATTAATAATCTTGTTAGGTTAACTTTGATTATAATTCAAGTGATCGCCAATAATAGTTTATTTGTGCATTAAATTCAACCAACATAGATTAAACAGGTTTAGGGTTAATCCTATTGATTGTATGTTAGTCAGAAAGTGCACATGAATACGAGCAGAATAAAGTAGAGGCCTATTATTAGGGCAGGTTCAATCTCTTTTAGGTTGGATTTGTACCATCATCCCCGAACCCTTATTTGGTTCATGACCTTATGGAGTTGGCGATCTCTTGGATCGTTAAGGGGTGTAACCTTCATCTTATGAATGGTTTACAAGTTCCTTAAAAACTTGTTGGCGACTCTTTTGCTCTATCTTCTTCCCTTTTGGACTCCACCGTACTTTAGTGTATGATCACAGTGGGGTTCAAGCTAGTGGGATTTTAAAGGCTTGAAACTATTCCCTACAAGTTGTCATTAGTGTACCCTTTGCTACCACTAGCTTTAGTTGCTTAACACCATAATGTGAAAATATATTAACCAAAAACCACATACTTTACTATATATAAGCTAATCTCAAACAATATTAATAAGACAACCTGACATATCAAAGTTAAAGACTTTAATAAGATCACTTACTTCGGGCATTTGCCAAGCTTGTCACCAAATTTCGACATAATATGCCAGATGCACCACCCGTGTATAGTGTTCGACATAATTTCTTCCAACGGCTTACGCATCGCAGTAGCTTGGTCTGTAAGGACACCGACCGGGGCTTTATTCCCCATGTAACAAAGCCACTGCCGAAAAATCTATCTGAACGTATCTGAGTCCTCATGCGACACCAATGCACACCCCAATAGAATAGACTGTCCATGGTGATTGACCCCAACAAAACAAATGGCAATTCATACTCATTAGTCAAGTATGTAGCATCAAAAACACACTACATCCCCGAAATACTCATAAGCAGCTCGACTACGAGCATCAACCCACAACACATCTTTTAACCGACCTTCATCATCTAAGCGATTAGCATGAAAAAAATTCTGACTATCGGCCATCATATACTCAAAGTATGACATCATAGCATCCGCATCCCCACCTTCCATCCTAAGGCGACGCTCCTTGTAAACCTCATGTTGGAAATCCTTCACCATCAAAGACATGTTCTCAACCCCTCCCATTTCAAGGGCAGTGCAGCCATGGAAACTAGACGCGGGTACCCCCTCATCATAATAATTGATCAACCTCTTCCTAACAGTGGATGTTAGCTGCTTCATTCTATACTCTTTCACCAACTTCGCTCCGTTTGGGATTAAATCATGGTTGTGCTCCAAAATAACAGATCTCAACTGCCAGTCACCATCTTCGTTAACACTAGCATAAATCTTAGCACCACACTCACATTTTTTGGACTTTCTTTTGCAACGATTCAACTCATTCTCCGCAATAACCCCTCTAACTAAATTACTGCAACCAGCAACTTCCATTGAATTAGCCCTCTTCTTCGCCGCTCTCGCTGCTCTCATGTCCGGTCTCCCCCAACATTCATACCTTCATGTAGTCCCCCTCATATCCCTATCCTTCTTAGAGAAAGAACCTTGAACCCTCTTGACACCAAACCCCATCTGTTCAGCATATTCCTTATAATAGGCTTCAACATCCTGCAAAGTTTTTAAAAATCATGTCCTCCTTAGGTTCCTCGACTACACTAACAACACTGATTTTGTTACTAGATACAACAGTGTGCACAGTCTGTATTGTACAGGTAGGGGTCCTATAACAAGTTTGACCACCTGGAACACAACCATCAAGTCCATCTTCAATTGTTGTTTGTTTAGATGCATGTGCAATTAGGTCCATACATTTCATGTCAGGAGAGTTCCCAAGTTCCATACAACCATCATCTCCTTCTTTATGTGGCATTACTTCCACACCTATACCACAAACATCCACTCCACTTCCCTTATCAAGTTTCTCCATTATCTGAACATTATAGGAGGTCTCATTAATAATCAAGGTTCACCATCACAAGTTAGGACACAAAAAAATAGGACCTTAACTTTGTATTAATGTACAGAAAATGCAATTGTACATATAATGCAACACTTAAATAGGACACCATAACTTTGTAATATTGTACAGAAAATGCAACTATAAAATAGGACACCATAACTTTGTAATATTGTACAGAAAATGCAACTATAAAATAGGACACCATAACTTTGTAATATTGTACAGAAAATGCAACTATAAAATAGGACACCAAACTTTGTACTATTGTAAAGAAAATGAAACTATAAAATAGGACACCAAACTTTGTACTATTGTAAAGAAAATGGAATTGCACAGAAAATAGAACATGCAACACTTAAAAGGAACACCATAACTTTGTAATGTACAGAAAATGTAATTGTACAGATAATGCAACACTAAAAAGGAAGACCATAATTTTTTGTTTAATTGTACACTAAAGGAAAAAAATATAAAATCTTGTCGAGAAATTGTATTTAAATTCAACACTCAGGAAGAAAGAACTAGGAAACACAATTGTCGGATTTTCATATTTAAGGGTCAAAGTCCATCCCTAATCTGAAAATATGAAAAACATATAAATGAGCAGACTCAACACCCCAACAATACCAAAACCAATTACCACTACCCTACAATTCTGTAACTGGGTAATACATGAACATCAATATCGCAAAACACCCAGATAATTCAAATACGCTTACATTGTATGTTCTAATTACATACCTTTTTTTATTAAGCGAACCAGCTCTAGCTTCAGTGAATTGACATCTTCGAGCTTCAATCGACAATCGGGCAGCTGAAATTTACTATGACGATATCACAAATTTGAGGTAATAAAATTAGGGCTTCGACTTCTCCATTATTTCTACAATTCAATCTCTGATTTGGGGGAAAAAAAAGAAGATAGACTGCAACTAACCATGGTTAGCATTTACAAAACGTTCACCAAAAAGTAACAAACGGCCGTTTTGATTTTGAAATAATTACAACATTGCCATCCGATTAACAATTTATGCTTATCGTGGAGATAAACTGGGCATTCCTCATTGGAAATATAATTGACAGAAAAGAAAAGGTGAAGATTCATACCGGATTAGTTGATGAATTTAGATGATTTTTACATTAATGAACTTTGATGGTACTCGTAATTCCAATAATTACTGAGTTGTAGTAAAGGTTTTAGAGACTAGAGTCAGAGAGTGGGAGTAATTGCCGAGTAAGGTTTAAAGTTTTTAAACATGACAACAAAATGGTTCAGCCCAGCACAAGCCACTTAAAGCATCTCCCGTGGAAGGTTACAATGCTTTGTTGCTTTTTTACATCAATTTTTAAGCTACAACACTTTTTAGCAATAAAGTGCTCTAATGATAAGCAATAATATCTTTTAGTTAGCGAAAAATAAAATCATATAACTAATATATAAAGCTAAACTTTTAGCCAGACCACTTGGCATTCCAACTTTTCGCCAAATGTCGCGCCACCTTGGATAGATTTAAAAAGACTTCATATGATAAAAACCGTCAATTGTCGCGCCACCTTGGATAGATTTCATAAGATAAAAAAAATTAGGTAAGAATTCTATTTTCAATCAAATTATGATATAATTTTAGAATAAGATTATTAGTTTATAGTTATATTTTCGATAAAAAAAACCAAATAATAAATTTATAATTAGGCCACAAGACAACATCATTTAGCGTTTTATTTTTTCGCAAGTATCATACCACGTTGGATATATATAGATTGACGTTGTAGCAAAAAGAGTTAATTTAGACTTCTATTTTCAATCAAATTGAATTATAATAGTAGTATAATTTTATCTCTTAAAAAGTCCATAAACTACCCGGGTATCGCCGGGGCACAAAGCTAGTTTTATAAAATAAATAGATAGTTATACAAATGTTATAATATGAGTGGAGTTTTTTTTTCTTTTTTTTTTTTCAATCAAGCACGTAGCTTGTTTGGGCTACATTATAGCATCTCCAATGACAAGCTACAACACATTGTAGCTTGTTTTGGCTCGTCAGATTTTTAAAACTACAAAGGTTAAAGTTACAAAGTTTCACATTGGTTGGCTATAATACTTTGTAGCTTGCGTTATCAAATATTTGTTAATTTTTTTATATGTTTATATTTTAGTCTATTGTTTCAAAAAAAAAAAAATAGTCTACAGATAATATGTTTACATTTTAGTCTAAAAATAATACCAAAAAAAAAAGCTATTTATGACTGAGAAAAATTAAAATGTTTTGTATCAAAAAAAAAATAAATTGTTTGGAAAGATCATGATAAAGATCAGTGGTAGCTCTCAGCTGTGAAGGTAACTGTCAGCTGTGTAGGTAGCTTTTAGCTATCAACAAGTTGTTAATTGTGAAGATAGATACTTTAGGTATGAGTATTCGGTTAAGGAGCAGTTGACGAGATATTACATTTGAAAATCAATATTTTATAATTAATACTATAGATTAAATTTTCAAAAGCTACCTCTAAGTTCAAAAGTTAATATTTCTAAATTTTTATAAAATCTACTTTCACCACTAAAAGCTACTCAAACGCTAATGCCAAACACGCCCATAGGCCCCTAAAAAATTGAAATACATCATACACATCATGGTATCAAGTATTGTATATTTCTATCCAAAAAAAAATGTATAATTTATCCATCTATTGTTTTTGCCAATATTTTTAGTATTTCATTGTTGGAATTATTTGCATTATATTTAAATAATAAAAATTGTATTTGCTTTAAATTTCAAGCAGTGTAGCTTAACTGAGCCGTGTTGCTCATCCAAACAGGGCTACCAATGTTGTTCCAATGGTCAACTTTATGTTTTTTTTATAATTTTTAAATTTACAAGCAAGTCCTTTTTAATAAACCATTGGAGATACTCTTATAAGTCCAGCAGACCAGCACAAGAGCATGCCGATGAGCCAGTCAAATTTTATCACTTATTCTGCACAAGCACAACAAGCTGTCTCGCATTTTGGCTCGCTTATTTTTGTCCAATTTACCAAAATATATCATATTACTTCATATAGACAATATATGGAGTACTCCCTTTGTTTTTAAATACTGCTTCATTTCTCCATTCGCGAGTTTAAGGTAAAAATAAAATATGTAGGTAGGGGGAAGAATAAAAAAATTGTAAAAAGCAAAAGTAGTCGAGAGAATTAGAGAAGAAATAATATGAAATTAATAAAATATTA